AAGGTAGAGGAGAAATAAAAGTCAGAATCAACTGCATTAGGGGAGTAAGAGGAGTAAGGGCTGGAGTCGAGGACCACCTGTAGGTTTTGTCAGGAGTCCTGGATGGGTTTGTGATTTGCCAAGACACAGGAAGAATAGGACTACAGGGAAGGTTTTAGTTTGGATACCATTTTGTGTCTCTGGGCTAACCACATGTGGGCAACCTGCTTTACCAAGAACGACCAGCTTCTTCCAGAACATTTATTGAGTGGGAGAGGGAGCAGTGTGTCTGGAGAATGTTCAGAAGAACATTTAGGGCATAGGGTGGGGAAAGAAAGATGAGAGTTGTGCAGGGCTCCATGGCTAGGCGAGTGGTCCTGAGTCTCCCTGCCAGGAAGGTGATGCATATAACTCCTTTCTAGGGCTGGGGAAGTGGGTCCTGTTAAGTGGCTTGGCCAGGGATTGCCAGTCCTGGGAACCAGCTTGGCTTCTCCTATCTTCTCTGCTTTGGGGAGAGGGCTGAGTGCTCCAGATCCTGGGCCAATGTGGACAATCACAACTGTATTTGGTATAGAGCAGGTACAGTGCTGTGTACTTACTTGCATATCCAGGATCTCATTTAATCCTCCCTTATGTCCTATGAGTTTGGTATTGCCATCTCCAATTTAAAGATGAGGAAAGGAGGCTCAGAGAGGTTTGGTGACTTGCCCCTGTCACACAGCTAGTTGCAGAGTGGGATTCAAAGTCAGTCCTAGCCCCAGCGTCTATGTCCTTATTCACAATGCCTCAAATGATCTTTCTGAGATTCTTTCTTTTTCACTGATGGAAGCTGGAGCAGCTGTTGCCAAAGCAGAATGTGGCAGTGAGTCCACACAGACCTCCAAGGAGCAAGGGCAGGACTGGGAAGGGAGGACATGTGGTCCCACAGAAAGGGACAATGCACATCTCACCATAGGACCCTTGGCCCTGGGCAGGGAGGTTGAAGTCTTTGCAGATGGATCTATAAGGCCCCTCACCAGGGGCCTACAAAATGTAAAGTCAGAAGGGACGAGTCTCCCCAGTTCATGTAAACTTGGACTTTGCTGTTCTCGTCCAGAAGCAAGAGGGAGCAGCAGGTGCAGCCTGGCTTCTCTTTTCCAGAGCATGCAGGTGAAAATACAAGGTGAGCCTTTCTGCAGCTGAAATGGGCCCAGGGTCTGGAGCTTTAAAAGGTTTCCAGCCACTCTCTAAGCCATCACAAATCATCTTTTGGAAGAAGGCAGGAGATAGAAATAACTACATCAATAACTTGTGTCCCTGATGTGAGCTCCATGGCAGAGATACCAACTGGGTTCACATGGTACCATCTGTGAGGACATCAGACTTTGAGGTCTTACCCAGGCCTGAAGTGCCTATCTCCTTGCAATAGCTCAGGAGTCCACTCAAACAATAAAACACAACATCTCAGGTATTTTATAACAGGATTCAAATGGAATGAATTCTTTTTTCCTCCCTTATCACTTTGCACACATGAAATCTATTTTGAATTAGTTTTGAATATATAGTCTAGAGGAAAAAAAGTCCTACAGATTGCTCCCACCCCAGTTGTGCATAGAGAAAGATTTATCTTGTACGATTCTGCAAAAAAAAAGTCTATATGTGCTCAATGCATTTAAATAACACTCATTAAAGTGAAATGCATGCAAGCTGCCTTCTCTAGTCACAGATGAGAGACAATCACTTGACCTATTGCAAATCAAAAAGCATTTCCACGGCATCTTTATTTTTCAATTGGTTAAGTTTTAAATTAAAGTCCCAATACTTTTTGGGAAAGCCGACTCACGTAGCCCCAACTGAAATTTCAGCTTAGTCAATTGAAAGATAATTACAAGAAACAAAATGTGAAATTTTAAATCAGGGCACTAATGAAGTCTAAAAATACCGGTGGCCCATCCCTCTAGTTGGCAGGACCTGCTCTTCACAGAGGCGATCTCAGATCTCACCGTAATTACTCAACCCCGGGAGAGGCCAGGTTGTCACGTCAAACAATAGTAGATAAAAATCCCAGGACTTTTAATGAGCTAGATCTCCAGGCTTTCCAAGGTGGATCTTATTATAACGCCGGGCAAGGTTTCAAATGGAGAACGTAAAAAAAGGAAAGCTCTTTTTTCTTTCTCCCTTTTTTTTTTTTTTAGTGGAGTTTAGACTTGTGTTGATGCCACCATGTTGTGCCTCCTGGTCCCCACCCCAGCCAGCTGTCTGTCATTTAAATGTGTGAAATCAATTGAGCTTCAGAGATGTAAAATCCTGAGGGGCAAAATTAAAGTGACCCACATCCAATCCAAGTGATCCTATTGGGAATATGACTCTTAACATGGCAAGTTTTTAAAGATTTGGTTTCAAAATTCAGGTTTCTTATTTTAAAAAAATATGCGGTTGTTTGACATTAGATCTGACAGACAAATTATAGCTTCAGCAATAAAGGCTTTTAAGATTAGATATGAAGGGAGAAATTACTTTAAAACACACACACACACAACTCAGCGAGGCTGTGTTTGAGGCATTGTTATATGCATGCTTCATTGTCTCTCTTCACTTCAGATATAAGGGGGTAAATCACTGATGAGGATCGTAAACAGAGAGATAAGTTAAATGCAATTGCTGGGGAAACAGGCAACTGGCTGGCAACCTATGGAAATCAGCATGGTGGCGGGTCACTGGTTATTACTGGCTGGGACTGGAGGGATCTCCCTAACCTACAATGTCAGCTCAGCAGAGCCTAGGGCCAAGGTCAAGCTCTGGGTTTCACCATCCCTGGCCCTCACCTTGCACTCAATCTGCCCATAGGGGCTAGAAGAGGAGCCTTCTTCTTCTCCTGCCCAGTGGGCATGGACCCGCTTTGTCGCTCAGTGTTCAGGCACAGATGTTACAAGGGTGGCTCTGCAATAGGCTACTGACCCAATGTGCATAGGGGCACTGCAGAGGCCTGTCCCCAGTTCTGGGTCTTCTTGATCTCACTGGCTGAGGATGTTTGGATGCACCTGCCTCTGGGAGCTTTGGTGAGGTGGATTCTAGCTTGGTACTAAATTCTAAACCAGGGACCCCAGTCCCATCTGGACTAGTTACCCTCTTGCACAGAAAACGTTTTTCATGTCTGAAACTTGGTAAGCCAACAAGACGTTTCATCAGCCCAGGAGAGCCCGGGTAGAGAAAAGGATTATGGTCTCCTTTGGTGGGCAGAGAGAGGCACACCCAATGCTTAAGGTTGGGAGCAGCCGAGGCCTCCACTACCCAGTGTTTCAGAGTTGGTGGCTCATAAACTGGAAACAAGATTTTTTTTTTTTTTTTTTTTTTAAGTAAAGGGAGAGGGAGCTTAACCAAAACAATTCGAACAAAAAATCAATTTAGTCAATTTTTTAAAAAAGATCTTAAACAAAGCAAGAGTTTACCAGAATTTAGATGTAATTTTCTATAATTCTGTCATTTAAAACTAGTGCTGATTTCCAAAACAAAGGCAGTTAGGGCTCAATCAGATTGGGAATGAAAGCCAACAGAGATCTAGACATGAGCTCTGTTGCTGGGATGTTTGATAAGTCCTGGAAATTGCTCAAAGGGATAAAGATAAAGATTTATGAGAGCAGGCGGGGAAGAGAATGGCTAGTTGGATTTGTTACTCTACTAAGACAAAGGGCCTCTGAGATGCAATTTCAAGGGGCTTTAAGAAGGAGGCTGAGAAAGTGTGTCCAGAGGTCCATACTTCCCAGGGCCAAGGAGACCATTGAGCTGCCCCCTTTCAAAGGAGGCATGGATACCCCTGTAAGGCAGACCACCCACAGTGCACCCGTCCCCTCCTCCTGCTCTGGCTTGAGGCCTGGCAGCCTCTCCTCTCCACTCAGCAGAAACGGTCTGCTTACGGAGAGTTGTTAAGGGATAGGCCCCTGGTCCTCCTGCCTCCTTTCACACTCCAGCCTGGGCAAATCGCTCAAACAGACACCAAGAGTGGGGCCTATCTGCTGATGCCTTTGCCTTAATCTGGAATCCCTGGGTGGTGCAAATGATGAAGCACTCAGCTGTGCTCCAAAAGGTTAGTGGTTTGAATCCACCCAAGGTGCCTCGAAGAAAGTCCTAGTGATCTACTTCTGAAAATTCATTCACTGAAAACCCTATGGGACACAGTTCTACTGTGACACAAACGGGGTCACTGTGAGCCTGAATTGATTCGACAGCAACTAGGTTTTGGTTTTGCCCTGATTCAGTGTGTGTGTGGAGATCCAGGCTTCGTGTTTGTCCCTAGAACCACGTTTCAGGTGGTCTCCCTTCCTAAACTCTGCTCTCATGGACCTACCTTCTACTCCCTGGCATGAAAACTCCTCTGGGGCTGGGGGAGAGGCTAGCTGAAGGCTGAAGCTGCAAGGGTTCTTTGCTGGAGTTTAACAGGACCACCCTTGGGTCCTTGAAATAAAAATTCCAGTGGCTTAGGATGGTCTGGGGATGTCTCCTGGTCCACACTAAATACTTGGGGTGCTGCACTCTCCTAGAGAACTGCTAACTGCGGAGGGTGCTTTTCTGGGGATGGACACAGCCACGTCCTATTCTGAATGACTTCCAGGGGTGAGAAATGGAGGAGGCCCCGAGGGAACTGTCCCCTGGAGCCTTAAGAGAAGCAAATGATTCCTTTGCCTTCTACATGCCTGGGTCAGAGGTGAGACAGGGCCGGAGTGTGGACTGGAGGGGGAGAGACTGTGGGCCCTTAAGGCTCTATCCTTCTTTCCTCCTCTCCCTCTTCTTGCCCTCTTGCATTTTCCCTCCATCCTTCTCCTGCCCTACCCCCACCCGCCCTTCCTCTTTGCCTGCCCTGCTGAAGCTGGGTTGCCTTGGGCAGGGAGAAGCCCCGCTGCAGCCTCTGGGTTGGGTGAGGCCAGAGGAGCTGCCGGGAGCACAGGCTACCATGAACCATGCCCCACTCCTCATTTTGTTGAAGCAACCATGATGGGAAGGGAAACACGCAAGAACACAGGGGGCATGTGGGCAGCACGACTTACCTTTGGGGTGCCCTGGGTCGGTGAACTCATATTTCCCCACGCCAATGGTCCGCAGCATCTGCAGCCCGTGGGCCGATTCAGAGGTGGGGGGCCCATTGGTGGTAGGGGCACTGCTGGGCAGAGTGGCAGACGGCTGGGCCGGTGGCAGTGGAGGGAGCAGAGGCCCTGCCATGTGGCCATTGCCCACAGCGGCAGGTCCTGGGCGAGCCACCTGCCCCACACCAGGCAGTGTGGACATGGCCAGTGGCTGCGGGCTGGCATACAGGGCCTGGGCAGGCATGTTGACCACCACGCTGCTCAGAGGCTGGGAAGGTGGCTGTGGGAGCGAGTAGTGGCCTGGCATCAGCGGGAGCTGGGGCCCCACATGTGGAGGCAGTGAGGGGGTCACCCCAATGACCGGGGCTTGAACGTTCACAGCTGGGCTGAAGGTGGGAGGCTGGGCCACTCCATAGGAGTGTGCGATCAGGGCGGGCTGGCTCCCGGCGGACACCGTGGTCACCCATGGCCCTGTGCCTGGAAGGGAGACAGAAGAGATGTCATCTGCTGGTTAAATGTTCATTCAGTAAACACTGACTGCCCCAGGCCCTAGGCTGGGGTCACATCCAGAACTTACAGATCAATACTTGGTGATTACAAGTATGTAAGTATTGATCACACAGGATAAGGGCTTTAAGGCTCTATGAATAAATGGTCATGGAAAATCAGAGGAGGAAGCAGGATCTGCTTGTGGGAGGCAGAGAAGCAACAAAGCTGAGAGGAAAAAGCAGTAGAGACCTCCAAAGAGACCCAAGTTCAAATCTCAGCTTTGCCACTTACCAGCCAAGAGCCCCAGGCAGTTGCTAAATTGTCTCTGAGACTCATTCTTCTCATCTATTACACAGAATAGCAATATCTACCTCATAGGGCTACTAAAATGAATTAAACCAGGAAAACATACTTGAAGAGAAAAAAAAGGAACTAGCAGAGTTTCTAGCATGTGGTAAATATTTGACAAATTTTGGTGTTTCTCCTTCCTTTCTGGAGACTCACTGTCTGAAGGAGGTGGGGAGAAAGTTGGAAAGTGAAGGAATGGGTGCTTGTTAGGCAAGGCAAGAATGCCAGGGCTTGAAGTTGTGCACAGGGCTGGTGCTTCAGGAACAGGGGGACAGGAGGAGGTAGGGGCAGTGTGGAGAGGTGAGTGGGCAGCCTTGCTGGGAAGGCCAGGCTTTGTCTTAAACAACCTCTTCAAGGCCAGCCCTGGAAAGGGTTGGGGTGAGGAACCAGAGAGGGGGTGTCCTTCCAAGGTATGTGTCATCTTGGCTGGGTCATAACTTGTAGTGGTTTGGGTTATGTGATGATGTAATTTAGCAGTTAAGTAATGATGTAAGCACCTCCCATGAGGTTATCTGATGAGTTCAGCCAATCAGTTGTAAGGGGATTAGGGTGGGATGCAACACCCTTACTCAGATCACAGCCTCGATCTGAAGTAAGAAGAGTTTCCTTGGGGTGTGGTCTGTATCACTTTTTATCTTACAAAAGATAAAAGGAGAGAGAAGCTAGCAGAGAAGGAAGGATCTCAGTTCCACCAAGAAAGAAGAGCCAGGAGTGGAGTGTGTCATTTGGATCCAAGGTCCCTGATCAGAGAATTTCCTAGACCCAGGAGAAGATTGATGCCAAGACATGGAGTCAAGACATGGAGCTCTCCAAAGAATGCTGGGCCCACAGAATTTGAAAGGAGACAGGGACCTTCTCCCAGAGCTGATGGAGAGAAAAAGCCTTCCCTTAGATTGACACTCTAAATTCAGACTTTTAGCCTCCAACTGTGAGAGAGTAAACTTCTGTTTGTTAAAGTCATCCACTTGTGGAATTTCTATTATAACAGCTGTAGATAATTAAGAAGGAAGATGGGGCAATCTACTTCCGTAGTGATACTGCCTCGGAAACCCAAGGAGGGGTCGCTATGAGTCGGGTCCGACTTGACGGCACATAACAACAACAACAACAACTTAAGAAAGTTATGGGTGAACAAGGGGGCCCAGACATGCCTCTTGAGATCTGATATTAGACATGAAGTCAGGGCCCAGGGCCCTCTGAGCCAAACTGATATTGAGTGACTCAAGCTGACTTCTGAGTAAAGTCAGAGGACTTGTGACAGGAAAGGCCAATCTGGATCACCTCTGACTAAATGAACGTGGGTCAAGGCCTTCATCACCTAAACACTACCTTGATATTCATGTTGCCTCTGGTGTGGCAGTGTAGACTGAAGATAGGGAGCTTGAAGAAGGAGAGTGGGGTGAGGGGGCTACTCACTCAGGACCACCAGCCTCAGGGCCTGGAAGGTGGGGCTGGGAGCTTCCTCTTAGAAATAAGATGACTACCTATCCACTGTGGGAGGTGTGTCTGAGGAGCGGTTGAGAAGGAAAGCCACATAGCATGGTGGTGAAGAGCAAGGCTTGAGAGTCAGACAGATCCAGATGGAGTCCTGGTCTGCCCCTTACTAGCTGAGTGATCTTAGACACAAGGCTTCTCTAAGTCAGTGTCATACTCTGCAATGTGGACATTAATAACACAAACACCACAGAACTGCTGTGAGGACTGCAAGGATACTCAGAACAAGGCATATAATAAAAGTGCAACAGATATTTATGATTTTGATAATGAGATGATGTAGAAAATTAGAAGGCGACACATCAGTGAAGAGAGTCCATGATTCAGTAATGCAGCAAGATTCTAGAACGGGCTGCAAGTCTGAAGAAGAAGCGATCATTGTGGTACCACCCCGTTGTCTCCAGGCCAAGACATATTATCCCAAGCTCATTCTCTCCCTTATTGGTCAGGGAGCCTGGAAAAATGCACCAGAATTTCTGAGCGGAGGTTGCTATGAGTTGGAGCTGACTCGATGGCATCTAACAACAACAACATAAAAGATATTATGACCAAGTCTGCAGATGACATAATATTGGGAGGAGTTGAAACAGGTTAGCAATGGAAGCTGGAATCTAAGAGATCCTGAGTCATCCAGAAAGAGGTTGATGAGATGTTGTCCTATGGTCCAAGAGATGAACATAGTAGCAGAAGCTACCACGACAGACTAGGGAAGTGAGCTGTTGAGACAGTGTGTGATATGGCTATGGCAGGGTGGGTGTGATCTCAGGCTACAATGGTGAATGTGGAGGGCAGGATGAAGGAGGTGCTGGCCAGCCCACATGTGGATCATTTATTTTGAGTTTTGAGCCTTGCACTTTAAGAGAGATGCAAAGGAAGCGCAGGCACTTATGAGCTCTGGATGTGGCTGAAGGGCTTGGGGCATTTATCCTACAGAAGATTTTGGGTATTGAGGGAGCCTCCAGATATCTGAAGGACTGTCATGTGGAAGGCTGAGCAGATGTGTTTTGTGTATCCTAATTGGGAGGTCTGGGACTAAAAGGAGAGAAAAGGGAGGGCCTCTGTTGTGACCAGAGCTGTGCACAGGACTGACAGCTGTAGCAGGTGGTGCACTCAGTTCTTGAGGCTGGAGCACGGCTATTCTCATATAAATACTGGCATTGGAAAACCTCACTGGAAGGTGTGACTCAAGAAATTTGTAATGAATCAGAGTACTGAGGCCATTCAAAATAGCCAGAAGCAAATTCAAAGCCACCCCTATAATGCCAATCACAATCCCTTGCCCTCTCAAATACTTTCTTGAGTTTGGAGGTAAGGTAGAGGCATGGTTACTGCAGGGGGAATTATACACAGCGAGGGCAGGGATCCTGCAGGCGGTAAGTCAGGACCTGCTGCTGGGGAGTGGGGACATCTCTACCGTCCCTCCCAGCCCTAGGATAGGTGGCTGTGTCCAGTGACAAGTACACACCTGAGTTGTCGCTCTCCCTCATCTGTTTGGAAGGTGGCTCATCAGTGTCCCAGGGTGTGGACTGATTGATGGGCGTTTGTCCCCACCGGATGCTGGTCGCCAGTCCCTGGGACTGATTGTCCGCTTTGGAGATGCCAGGAGCCTATAAGGAAGCACGGCCGGGAGGTGAGCACAGCCTGGCAAGGGGCACTGCCCTGCAGCCCACCCCCTAGAACAAGACTCTTATTTCCCGAGCATCATCCACTGAGCTGGGGAGCCAGAGACTGAGGCCTGGCCCTGCATCCAGTCCCATGGGGACTCAAAGGGTATTTTGACCTAGTACTAGCAACTATGGCTTCTGATAAGCTCCTGCCTCCCAACCCAATGTCTCTCTGGCCACCCTGTGCAGTCACTCACTTCATCTGAGGTGATCATTAAAGAAGAGTGTTCTGTGCTATGAGGAAAGAAATTCCCTCAGCAATTGGATCATGTACAAAAAACAAACTCAAAACCAAACTCACTGCTGTCGAGTTGATTCTGACTCATAGCAACCCCCACTGGGTTTCCGAGGTGGTAAATCTTTACAGAAGTAGATTGCCCCATCTTCCTTCAGTAGAGTGGCTGGTGGGTTTGAACCACCAACCTTCTGGTAAGCAGTCAAATGCCTTAGGCACTGTACCCCAAAGCTCCTTTGGATCATGAATAAGCCACAACAAAAAAATTGCTGCCAATTTATCCCTGGGCATGTGCTGAGCATTGATGTGGGCCCAGCCAAGACTCAGTGCCCCCATAAACCTTGCCTTGGTCATTGGTATGAGAGGATCATTCCCCAAAGTGCCAGCATCAGGCCACAGGTGAGAACTATTAAATGCAAATGTGTAGAGACCAAAGGGGTAGGTAGGAGGGAGGGGAAAAGGGGAACTCACTGCTTACAGATATTGAGTATTATGGATTTGGTGTTCCCAAAAGAGATGCATTGTAAATCCGAACCCCTGTAATTGTGGATGTAATCTCATTTGTGTGGGAGAAAGATGAAGTAGTCTGCTTCCATAAAGATTTATAGCCTTGGAAACCCTCTGGGGGGCAGTTCTAATCTGTTTTATAGGGTTGCTATGAGTTGGTATTGACTTGATGGCAGTAGATTTGGTTTTGGTTTTAATCCCATTTGGAAAGAAGGTTTCTTTTATTATATCTATTAAACCATTATCAGTGTAGGGGTGTTTTAGACCAATCATTTTTGAGAAATAAAAGAGGAGATTAGGCAGAGAAGGCAGACACAGGAGGAAGACAGACACTATCTAAAGACGGTGGAAGGGCAGACCAGTCTACAAGCCCAGGAACTCCAAGGATGGCTGGCTATAGAAGCTGAGAGAAGGATTTTCCTTCACAGTCAACACACACATATACACAGAGAGAGAGAGAAAGAGAGAGAGAGAGAGAGAGAGAGAGCCTTCTTCTAGGGCTGGACTTTTAAACTGTGAGAAAATAAATTTCTGTTTGTTAAAGCCACCCACTTGTGGTATTTCGATTATAGCAGCACTAGCAAACTAAGACATGAGCTTAAATTTGGAAACTTTGGAAATGGATAATAGTAATGGTTGAACACCATGATAAATGCCATTGAATTGGACACCTGAAGAATGTTGAAATGGCAAACGATTTGCTACGTGTATATTAACCACAGTTAAAAATAAAAGTTCCCTATTCTGTCTCACACCAGCCTTTGAGGCCCCAAATGTTCCACTCCGTGAACAAGCCCTAAGGCCGTGGGAGGATGGCAGATCCCGGCACCAGGACAGGAGTTGGGGGAGCCCTATCAGGAGATACCACCAGAACTCTCATTCCTTGTCCGTGGGAAGAAAGGGTTCTCTGCTCCATGAATTCACTCTTTAATTTAGATATTTATATTGTTGTCAGGGGCTGTCAGTACAGTTCCAACTCATTGTGACTTTGTGTGCAATAGTACAAAACAAAGCAATCATTGCTATGTTTGAGTCCATTGTTGTAGTCACTGTGTCAATCCATCTCATTGAGGGTCTTCCTCTTTTTCACCGACTCTCTACTTTACCCAGCATGATTTCCTTTTCCAAGGACTGATTCCACCTGACAATATTTCCAAAGTATGTGAGATGAAGTCTCACCATCCTTGCTTCCAGAGCATTCTGGCTGTACTTCTTCCAAGACAGATTTGTTCTTTCTTCTGGCCATTCATGATATTCATATATTCTTTACCAACACCATAATTCAAATGCAGCAATTCTTTTTCAATCTTCCTTATTCATTGTCCAGCTTTTGCATACATATGAGATGAATGAAAACACAGTGGCTTGGGTCAGGCTTACCTTAGTCCTCAAAGTGACATCTTTGCTTCTTAACACTTTAAAGAGGTCTTTTGGAGCAGATTTGCCTAATGCAATATGTTATTTGATTTCTTGACTGCTGCTTCCATGGGTGTTGATTGTGGATCTAAGTAAAATGAAATCCTTGACAACTTCAATATTTTATCTGTTTATCATGATGTTGCTATGATGCTGGAAGGTATGCCAACAGCATTTCAAATACCAGCCAGGTCACCCATGGTAGACAGGTTTCAGGGGAGCTTTCAGAATAAGACAGATTGGGATGAAGGACCTGCTAATCTACTTCTGAAAAAAATTGGCCAGTGAAAACCTTATGGATAGCGGTGGAATATTGTTGGTTATAGTGCCAGAATAAGAGCCCCCCAGGTTGGAAGGCACTCAAAATATGACTGGAGTAGAGCTGCCTTCTCAAAGTAAAGTTGACCTTAATGATGTGGATGGGGTAAAGTTTTCAGGACCTCTATTTGTTGATGTGGCATGACCCAAAATGAGAAGAAACAGCTACAAACATCCATTAATAACTGAAATGGGGAATATAGGAAGTATGAATATAGGAAAATTGGAAGTTGTCAAAAATGAATAGAATGCTGAAATGGATTAGTAGTGGCCGTTTTGAACTGACAAACATATGGCCTACTATGCTGGGAATGAAAAAATTGAAGAACAGCATTGCATTCATCACCAAAAAGAACATTTTAAAATCTATTCTGAAAGGCCTGCAGGCTCAGGGCCAATCACCAGGTACATCAAACTCAATTAGCACAACATGCTGCACAAAACATTCTTTTACCTCCTACTTTGGTGAGTAGTGACTGGAATCTTAAAAGTTTGTCAGCTGCCACCTAAGATGCAACGATTGGTCTCTCCTTGTCTGGAGCAAAGAAGAGTGAAGAAAATCAAAGACACATGGAAACAATCAGTCCAAGGATCTAGTGGACCATGGGAACTTCAGCCTACATGACTCTGAGACCAGAAGAACTAGATGGTGCCACTGTCAACCACTCAGAAAGGGATCAAAATAGGAGGATACTGGATAGAATGGGAGAAAAATGTGGAACAAAAGCCAAAATCATGAAAAAGCCCAGGCTTACTGATCTGAGAGACTGGTGAAACCCCAAAGACTATGGCCCCTAGTCACTTTTCAGACATGGAGTTGAACACACTCACATGGCTTCCAGCCAAATAATACACAAGACTACGAGGTAAACAATTACAACAGGTAGGTATACTCCTCAGAACAATTAAACATTGGTGATTTGAAGGGCAGCATTGGCATAGGAAGATAGCTTAGAGGGCAGGATGCATAGGAAAGAAGGACACAGGAAAAAGGTAACCACGGGGAGGAAGTGGGAAGAGAGTTGTTGCATCGTGAAGATTGCAATCAATGTCATGAAACAAAATGTGTATGAACTATTGAATGGAGAATGTATTTACTCATAAATTTTTACCAAAATCACAATAAATAAATAAATAAAGTTTGGGGGGGGGATCTATCCTGAAATATAACACTGTCAGTGATAATATTCATACACCTTCAAGGAAGAAGAGCTAATATGACTGTTCTTCAAATTTATGCACCAACCATGAAAGTCAAAGAGGAAGAAATTAAAGATTTTTACCAACTTCTGCAGTCTGAAATTGATCAAGCATGCAATCAGGATGCATTGATAATTACTGGTGATTAGAATGGGAAAGTTGGAAACAAAGAATAATGTTGCTGGTGAGTTTGAACCACTGACTTTCTGGTTTGCAGCTGAATGCCTTACACACTGTACCACCAGGGCTCCTTAAAGAAGGATCAGTAGTTGGAAAATATGGCCTTGATGATAGAAACAATGTGAGAGATCAAATAATAGAATTTTGCATGACCAACAACTTATTCACTGGAAATAATTTTTTCAAAACACAAATGGTGGCTATACATATTCAGACCTCACTGAATGGAATACATAGGAATCAAACCGACTACTTTTATGGAAAGAGATGATGTTGTTGTTTTTAGGTGCTGTTGTGTCAATTCTGACTCATAATGACTATTTGTACAACAAAATGAAACACTGCTTGATCCTGCATCATCCTCACAACTCTTGGTATGCTTGAGTCATCATTGTGGCCACTGTGTCAATCCATCTCTCAATATCATCATAATATCATCAGTCAGAACACTGCCAGATATTGACTATAGAACAGACCATTAATTGCTCATCCACAAGTTCAAGTCAAAGCTGAAGATACTTATATTAATGAGAAAATAAATGTTAGGGTGAAAACAAACATCAGGATAACACTGGTTTCCCTGAGCTATAGTCTTACAGTGGAATATTATATAGCCATTTAAAAAATTATGTCTACTAAGAATTTTTAATGAGATTGCAAAATAGTTATTCAATAAAGTTAAATGAAAGATGTGAGATGACATAAACATAACCTCACTATGTCAAATAGTATGCATAGGAAGCGAATTAAAAACAAAACCAAACTCACTGCCATCAAGTTGATTCCAACTCATACTGACCCCCACTGGGTTTCCGAGGCAGTAAATCTTTATGGAAGTAGTTTGTCCAGTCTTCCTTCCATGGAGTGGCTGGTGAATTTGAACCACTAACCTTTTGGTTAGCAGTCAAATGCCTTAGGTACTATGCCACCACGGCTAGAGCAAAATGTCAGCAATGATGTTATCCCTGAGTGAGGGGATTATGGATAACTTTTTTTTTTTTTTTTCCTACCGCAGGAGCACAGATGGTTCTCAGGGTTCCAGTCCTGCACTCTTATGATATTGCCTCGGAAACCCAAGGAGGGGTTG